GCACGGCCAGGCTGCAGGCCAGTTTCACAGCCCCCTGGGGCAGCCAGGGGTTTCCAGGGGCGTGGGACGTTGCTGGATTCACAGGGCGGCTTGTTGAGCTTCACGGCCTGGAGGGGGGGGCCTTGAGCTGAAACGTCTCCTGAAATGGGTCTCGTCTTTCCCCCCAGGGCGACCAAGCAGAGAGCAACGGTGACTGTGCCGGAGGGCCAGGCTGCAGGCCAGTTTCACAGCCCCCTGGGGCAGCCAGGGGTTTCCAGGGGCGTGGGACGTTGCTGGATTCACAGGGCGGCTTGTTGAGCTTCACGGCCTGGAGGGGGGGGCCTTGAGCTGAAACGTCTCCTGAAATGGGTCTCGTCTTTCCCCCCAGGGCGACCAAGCAGAGAGCAACGGTGACTGTGCCGGAGGGCCTGGGCTGCCGGGGATCCCAGGCTTACCCGGAGAGAGAGGGGAGCAGGTGTGTCCAGCGTCTGCGCCAGGACCATGGGATGGCGGGTTCCCCCCGGGCTTTGGCCTTTGCCAGCTGCAGCTCATGGGCGGCATTTCTCGCTGTGGATGGAGGTTGTCATCCTGGGACGTGGCCCCTAGACATCACCCCTCCCCCCCAGCATCCGCTGCTTCCCGCCCCTCACCGCATCCCTGCAGGAAGGACTCGGGGCACCGGGCAAGCCTTGAAAATCCTCCAGCCAGCGCCAGCCCCTGCCCGGGCCCAGAGGGGAGCTGTGCAGCTCCGGCTCCGCAGGGACCGGCTCCGTTCAGTCTCCCTCCTTGCGCTGTGCTCTGTTCCCTTCTCTCATCGCCACCGTGGCCGGGGGCTCCGGCTGCTTGTCACGTGACTTTGGGGATGGAGCTGAGGAGCTCCTGTGACGTCGTGTCGGGGTCCCCCGCCTCCTGCACCCCGTAGTGGCACGAACAGACTCCGCCAGCCAGTAGAACAGAGGGGGGTTATTGCTTCTCCCGATCCGGTCACAGGGCAGGCCTAGGATGCCTCAGCCCCCTTGAGATGGGGGAGCCTGGGCCCCTAAATCCCAGCCCCTTGCCTAGGCTGCTTCCCCCATGATTCCAGACAGAAACTAAAACTCTCTCCCAGCCCTGCCCCCCAGCCAGGAGCTGGTCTCCCCCCTTCCCTGTGTCTCTCCCTGTGGGGCTGAGCCTGGGTGTCTGGGTTAACACACCTTTGGGAGAGTCAGTGAGAATCTCCCATCCCAGCGCGGGGGGCCCCCGGGGCACAGGGCAGACACCCCCCCCCCCACTAACAAGCTGCTAACTCTGTGCCGATCTCTTTGTAGGGCCCACCAGGGTCGAGGGGATCCCCAGGCCCCACCGGACCAGCGGTAAGTTACCCTGGCAACGAACGTACGTGTGTAGGTAGGGCGGGGTGCTGCCCCTTGGGGTGGGGCAGCTGTGCTCTGAAGGCGCCGCGCACACCCTCTGCGGAAGAGTTCCCTGGCGCTCCCTCGGGGTTGCCACGGCCCGGGGCTATGGGAACTTGCTGCTGCTCTACAGCCTCTCCCAAGATCCCAGGCTGAAATCCTGGCCCAGCGCCCGGGCTGGGAATGGCTGAGCACGGCCGAATGGCATTTGGAAGCAGCGCGAAGGCCACGTGTTCTGCCAACCTACGTCCCAGCCCTGAGGCCATGGTGAGGGGTGGAGGAAGGGAAGCGCTTCTGGACAGAGCTGCCTTCTCCAGAGGGGGGCGAAGGTGGCACGGATGCTGAAGGCAGGGGGAGTCCGCAGAGCCGGTCCCGAGACCAGAAGAGGAGACACGTCCCGCTTGGAACAAGAGTAGCCCCTCGGCTTCCCTTCCCAGGGTCCCGTCCCCACTGCCCCAGGCCTCCCCGCGCCCGCCTCCTGACTGTGATTTCCAAGGTGTGATCTCACTGTTTCTTCCCTTAGGGCCCTCCAGGTTTTCCTGGAACGCCTGGCGCACCCGGATTGCCTGTAAGAACCCAGCACGGCACGTGCTCTGTGCGGTCCTTTGTCGCTCATGCTTGTTTGGTTTTGTCTGCCTCCATTACTCTCCTCTGGGCGCTGCACCCGGTCACCCAGCCAGGCCCTGCGCACACCGATTCCCTGCACTAGACTCCTCCGGGCCCCAGGAGGAAAAGCCCCTCGCCAGTTTCATCTGTGCCCTGCCCAGGGGCTTCTTATTGCCTCTGCAGCCCTCCTGTCCCCATCTCTCCTTGCAGCTCCTCTCCCTCCGGGTGGCTCTGATCTGCCTCCCATTTGTGTGGGAGCAAATCGTAACTCCATTGAGCTCGGTGGAGCCAGCTTCTCCGCTGGTGCAAATCTGCCCTCGCAGCTCAGGCTTGGGACTTGGGAACCCTGCGGTCATGCCCTGCCTCTGCCCCTCTTGCGGGGTGATGCTGGAATCTCTCTGGGCCTCCGCTCCCCATCTGTAAAATGGGCGCAGTTCTTCCTTTCTCTCCCCCATTTGGCGGTTTCCACTGTGAGCTCTTTGGGGCCCGCGCTGCCTCTCACTGTCTGGGCAGCCCCCGGCACAATGGGGCCTTTGATCCCAGCTGGGGCTTGGAGCTGCTACTGCAATCCCTGGGTAAGCCCAGTGGTGCTGCACCGAGCCGGGGTGTGACCCTGCTGCTGGCTGCGTGCTCAGTCTCCGTGTGGAGCCGGCTGCCATGCGCTGGGTGTGCCGGTCCGGGGCCCCGTGGTGCTCAGCTCAGACTCAATCGAGAAAAAAAACGGAATCGACGCCTCTGTTTTCCCTCTGTCTCTCGTCTGCTCTTCCTCCTGCCTCCGCTCCGGCTGAGCATGCAGGATCTCCGTCAGCAGTGCCCCGTCACGAATGATCCCCACCCAAAACCCCTCCTGTGGAGGCAGGCGTGAGAGAGGGCACCTGGATTGTGTGGTTTTTTCCTCCCATCACCCCTACGTCATTCATGTCCTAATCTCCTATCTGGCATCTCCCGCTACTGTCACCGTAACCCCACGGTCTGTGTGTGTCATTGCTACGCAGTGTTCACCTCCTCGCTGGTGTGTTCAGTGCCTCGGCAGCATCACCTTCCACCACGTAGGCGCCATGTAACCGAAACTAACCCCCATCCTCGTCGCTCCGTGTTGTGCCCGGTTCACTTGGGGTCTGGGGTTTACCTCCTTGGCCCCTCCCACTCCGGGACGGCCAGCGAGAGGCGCACGTGGGTTTCTCGCCCATCCCATCCAGCGCACACACTCGTACGTGGCCTGCGGAGACGTGGCGGGAGGGGAACGGCGACGGAGCCTTTGGATGTGGACGAGGTCTCTGGGACTGGGCAGCTGTGGCTGCTGCTCTGGGGAGCAGAGGGGGCAGGAAGCGGGAGTGCCGGGGGGCCCAGCAGCCGCCAAAGCCAGCAGGGAGCTAGTGAGAGCCGGCAGGGCCCCGGGTGCAAGAGGACAAGACCTGTTACCCCTGCTGTGGGGCACAACTTTCCCTGCCCAGTGTAGTGCCCCCCGCTCACCTCAGGGCCCCTCCCATCGATGGGACGTGCCGCATTCATCCCTCCCTCTCCAAAGCACCCGGGGGGCCCAGCAGCCGCCAAAGCCAGCAGGGAGCTAGTGAGAGCCGGCAGGGCCCCGGGTGCAAGAGGACAAGACCTGTTACCCCTGCTGTGGGGCACAACTTTCCCTGCCCAGTGTAGTGCCCCCCGCTCACCTCAGGGCCCCTCCCATCGATGGGACGTGCCGCATTCATCCCTCCCTCTCCAAAGCACCCGCCCTGGAAAGCAGGGCTGGCGAGGGGCGGCCTTTGGGCACGGCGGCCAGTCGGCGCCGGTCTGCGCTGTGGGGCCGTGTCTGGGAGGAGCATTTGGAGGGGGGGGACAGGGCGCTCCCAGGAGTGGCAGCAGGGCAACCCCTCTCCCCCAC